GCCCAGTAAATGTTGGGATTAACTCATAGGGAATGGAGCATTTTACATTACTTAGGAAAATCTTCAACTGTGAAAGTGTTTTGAATCTTTTTATCTTTGGCAATTTCATACATTAACCTCCCTTGATAACGCTTCACAACTACCTCCCACTGACACCCTCCCTCCCTCCTCCTCTGAGTACAGTAAGGGCTGCCTTCCGCAGTCAGGCAGTCAGGCAGGCAGTGTTGTCAGCTTCGTCCGTGCGGGTCTTGTACTGAGTTCCTGGGCACCACAGCCACACCCAGGGGATAGTATTTACAGTGCACTCCTCTGGCTTTTACACTCTGTTTGCTCTTAGGCATGTCCCTGAGACTTGGGCAGGGCTTACTGGTGTTGATAAAGATGTCTCATACAGGGCAGAGCATCCAACAGTCACTTCTTGTAAGCCCTTGACCAGTTACAAGTCACTCTTGAGGAACCAGGGAGGTTTTGAGTTCCGTTCCAGCTGTAGTGTGTGTGCCTTTAGTCAGTCTCATCACCTAGTTCTGGTGGTCAGCCGAGAGCAATGGCAGGCAACAGTAGCTTGTCTTGTTTTAGGAGCCCTCTCTGATTAGTTCCTCATGGAACTAGCACTGAAATTTTCATTTAATTACTCATGTCTCTAGGGAAGAACCTCCTGTCTATCCGTGTAGGGTACCTGTTTTCGAACCTTTACAAAATTCTACTTTTAATCAGATGCAGAGGTGAATTTTTACAAAGGAATTTTGTATATGGTTAACCCACACTCAATTCCTTTCCTCCATCCCCTGCCTCACTTAAACCTTCAACCCCCAGTACTTCCCAATTTTCACAGCATCTGAGTTCTAATCCTTCAGCCCTCTGCTCCTCTTGGACCATTTCTGGTTTTGTGGCCTCCACACACTCCAATTTAAACACACAGTTCCGAAAGCTCAAAGCAGGGATCCACATTAGAACACAGCACAATGTCATTTGGTCCACTTTCCTGCGGGTTGCTTAACTTCATTTTTCTTTGATTGAGTAAAACTCGACCACATTTCCATTGTCTGTCAGGCTGATTCCAGGAGCGAAGGCCACGGATGAGCAGGCGTTTTTGTAGGACGGTACTGAATCCTTTTGTATATGCCTAAGTTCTGTTGCAGGTTTTTGAGAAACCTCCCCACTGATTTCCAGTGGCTACACCAATTCACGCTCAAACCAACAGCGAACAAGTGTTCTTTCCTTGCTAGCATCACTGTGGTGTTCTTGACTGTCATTGATATCAGGGAGGGGGACATGGAATCCCAAAGTCATTTAAATTTGCATCTTCCTGATAGCTAATAATTTGAACACTTTAAAAGATGTTTATTAACCTTTTATTTCTTCTTTTGATAATTCTGTGTATAGCTCCAGGGCCTATCTAATTGGGTTATTTTTATTTTCTTGACATTTAGTCTGAGTTCTCTGTATAGATACTAACCCTATGTTGGATAAACTCCTGGCCAAGATTTTCCCCCACTCTTAAAACTGTCTCTTCATTGGATGTCTTTGTGAAGACACTTTCATGAGATCCCATGTGCCAGTTACTGGTTTTCTTTCACGTGGGATTTGAACCCTATCAGAAAACATTTGGTTCTGAGAACCTATCTGAAGACTTAAGAATTGATTCATGCTATTTCACCGAAGAAATCAGTTTCATTCAAGAGCCACGGTTAGGATTTGTGCACAGGATGCAATGGCTGACATCAGTATAGTGATGGACACTAAATACGGGAGCTGATGCTGTGGTAATTTGTGTTATTTGCACAGGACAGAATCGAGACTCGCCCATGAGCTAGGCCTCTGTGTGCCTGTATGGGGTTTCTCGATGTTGAGGTGGGAAACCTGCCTACTGTGATGGTGCCTCCCCAGGTTGGCTCCTGGGCGGTGTAAGTGGAGAATGGGAGCCTGGCAGCCACTGCATCCATCCCTCTCTCTGCTGCTTTACTGCAAATGCATTGCGCCTAACTGCCTCAACTTCCGGCCACTGTGACTGCTCCATAAAAATGAACATGTGACCTTGAACTGAGCTGAAGGATACCCCATCCTCCTAAGTTGCTTTTGCCAAGTTATTTTTATCACAGGGACAGAAAAGAGACCAAGATGGATGCAATAGCAGATGAATTCAGCCAGCATTTCTCAGTGACATGCAAGGCAAAGACCACATGGCTGCTCCAGAACCAGGACATGGTTACGACATCTTATTTGCATGCACCGTGTTTCTCAACAGTGTTCTTCTTACTAGACAGGCACAAAACTGGACAATCCTGGACCTATGCGGATCATTTTTACTGTTTCCTGTTGGCCGGAGCTGTGGTGTCCAGTACGCGCACCTGGCTTGTTCTCCCTGTTGCTGGGACCTGCACTGCTAGGTGAGATGCAGAGGTGAGGTCACTACGGGGAGGGCCGTGAGCTACAGCAGCCACCCTTTCTCTATGTAGAGTTCAGCTTGCTCTGCAGCACGGTGGGACTAAGTGTATTGCAAAGTAGAGAGCAAGCCCCCAAAGGTAAGGGGTTTAGGGGCACAGGCTCAATTGTGCTAAGATAGCCCAAGATGGGGCATCTGAGATTCTCATATTTGGCAGTCAGCATGTACTACACTGCTGTCACGAACCTCCCCAAGCCAGGCACCTTAAAACAACAGAAATCTAGTCTGTGTGTCTGGAAAGTAGACATTCAAGATGAAGGTTGTCGGTAAGTCCACGTCGTCCCCCCCCCCCCCCCCAAGGCTGCAGGAAAGACCTTTTGTATGCTTCTCCTAGCAAACCCTAGCATTTTGGGCTACTGGCTCACGACCTCAACATGCCTGTGCAGTCACAAGGCTGCTCTGTGCTCATATTCTGAGAACACTGGCTAAGGTCAGGAGTAGATGGATCTTCCTCCTTTCTTCCATGGGATCAAAACCAGGTTAGTTTTCATTTCTAGACCACCATGCCCGAGACTGCTTGTGTTTGTGCTGATTCTGGGCTAAGCATGTCACTGATACCCCAGGGTTTAAATGAGTGCTCACAGCTTAGACGAATATCATAGACGTTTCCTGATGGCTCACACATCAAAACATGACAAGAAAGGCTATTTTTGAGGTATTTCCTGCTGAATCAATCCTAGGAAGTAGTATCTTAGGGATCCCCCAATCTTGTTCCTCCTCCCTCCCCAATCTCCTATCCCATTTCCTGTTTGAGGAAAAAAAAGCCATTCTAGTAGGTGCAGGGGTGGGGATGTTCAGAACAATGAGGCCCACAGGCTGGCCTTCTGAAACGCATTAAGGAGTGTTTAACCACAGTGGCCTGGACCACTCAAATCAGAGCTTCCTAACCGGGACAAGGACGTTTTTAACTGAGGTTATATGAAGAAAGAGATTTGCCACCTTGTGAGGCTCCTGGCTCGTCACTTGGCGATGCCACAGGGCTGGAGTGGGTGAGAACCTTCTGGGTTGGGCCCCCTCTCTACCTCTTCTAGGCCACTTTGTTGTGGTAGCCAGGACTGATACCTTTGGATGCTCTTCTCTGGCATCCTCCATTTGTAACTTTTAGGGTGGGGTCTTGTCACATACCTCCCCTCCCCTCGCCCCACCCCCAGCCCGTGCTGGGTTCACAGATTTATGCCAAGGCCTCCCACCTTGTCCTTTTCAGGGCATAGCTTCCCTCTGCAGTTTTCAAACCCACTAGTTTTGTTCTTTCTCCCCCTTTTCTCTACATTTCTTGTCCTTAAAAACTCAGCTCAGAGGACATAACCTTGAGGCCACTTTCCGCTGGCCTCCCACCCCCAGAGGTCATCAAAATGTGCAGTATTTGGCTGTACCTGTTCAGAGCACAGGGGTTATTTGGACCAGGCCATGTGTAATTTAATTAGATAAAGTACTATACTCAAGTCGTTTTAGATTCTCACGTATGAAAAGGATGCAGTCAGAACAGTTCTGGCGCGCACCCCACACACAGCAGTTACAGTGTCGACAGCCTTCAGTGCGTTCATCTCACTGGATCTGAACTGCAAAGACCCTTCTGGAAGGAGAGAAGCTGAAGCTCGGACAAGGGAAAAGCATCCGGAGAGCAGATGACACTCTCTCCTGAGGAGGACTGGAGGCATCTGTGTCAGATGAGGGATGGTGCGCGCACACACACACACACATGCACACACGCACACACACACACACGCACACACGCACACAGCGTCAGCTGGAGAGACGGCGTGACGGGCTATGTGTGCAGCACACACGGGCAGCACCTCCAGTGTGCACTCAGGTTCTGGAGACAGCAGCATAACCGACAGTGGTTTAGCAGCTAACTACCCAAAATCCTCTCCCCCAACAAGAAAAGACAGTATTAGGATCACAAAGAGGTGAGTTTTTTAATTGATACTCAATCTCTACATACAATATTGCACAAATTAAAGATGTATCAACAATTCTATTTATGATAACAAACTCATAACAATCATATAAAACTACAAGGTGGTGCATTTTGGTGGTAGGAATTTTAGTAACTAGCGCAAATATGAAACTCAGCTACTTTGTGAGAAACAGCCTTCCACAAAAGAACTCCAGGTTACTTAAGATGTCAAACACAGGTCAAGGTAAGATCACTTTTAAGAAAAACTTGGGATTCAGGTATGGTGGCACATATCTCAGAAGGCTGAAGCAGGAGGGTCGCCAGTCAGGATGGCCTATACTATACAGCAAAATGATGACTCAAAAAAACTGCTGTTAAAAAATATGAAAACTTCAGCAATTTCATTTAGGAACCAGGAAATATATGCGTATTGGGAACTAAGAAGACACCTCCATGTCTGCTCCATAGGCCCTGTGCTCCAAGAGTAAATTCTTCTGCTGCAGGATCTCTGTAAGAAACTATGGTTTCAGCCGGGCGGTGGTGGCGCACGCCTTTAATCCCAGCACTCGGGAGGCAGAGGCAGGCGGATCTCTGTGAGTTCGAGACCAGCCTGGTCTACAAGAGCTAGTGCCAGGACAGGCTCCAAAGCCACAGAGAAACCCTGTCTCAAAAAACCAAAAAAAAAAAAAAAAAAAAAAAAAAAAAAGAAACTATGGTTTCAAAGCTCTAAACAAGCAAGATGGCAATTCAAATAAAAGAGCTTAAACAAGGCTCTTCCATTCAGAAGAAAACAAATGCAGTCTATAAATTAAAGTCGTATCAAAATGCTGCCCAGGCATGGAAGGCAGGCACCACTCACCTCCTGAGTGTCTCATACAGTACTGGGGTCACCTGTGAGGAAGGGAGAGCTGGGTATGGTCCTAGCTCTCTAACTTATCAGGTCTGGTCTTCATACACACAGGGTTAAGTGCGGTGAGCTAGCTGGCTGCTTGTCACAGCTTCCAATGGAAAGGTCTAAGCCAACCATCTCGAAGCATGCGCTAGGGGATGGACCGAGACAAGGTCTGGCAGCTCCCACCTTCTGACACCATCACTCAGAAATCTGGAACTACTGAAGGGCGGGAAGAAGGTGTCCGATGATCATATTTCTAATAAAATGTATAAGGCCATGGCGAATGTGAGGGAAATGAGGGACCACTACACTGTTACCCACAGCTGTCCTGCCTGGGAGATGAGAAGGGGGCGAGGAGATGTCTCAATCCACTCACTAGAATCTCTGGGTGCACACCTGTTACCCGTTCCCTCAGCTCCCGGCAAAGCAATGGCCACGAAGTTGGTCCTAGCGCAAAGAACAAAGCTACAGAGTTAAGAGCAGCGCAGGGGTTTTCTGTACAGAACAGGAGAATGACCTAAAGAAAACAATGTTTTCCCAGTTTCTGGGCTTTACAGACAATACAGATACCAGCTTTTCGGGATTAGCACAGTGGCTGCATCACTTTATTCCCCCCTGAGGTGGCCGCACATCATAAACTCTGAAACATGACAGTCACATGATTTCTTCAGTAAGCTCCCAGGTAGATCCCGGCTCTCCCGGAGCTTGGAGTCCTGAGGTTTCAAATGTTAAAGCTTTCACCACAGCCACAAGTTCCTTTGATGTTGGGGTTATTGAAAACAAACTCACTGGACAGTTTGTCCTCCACATAGTCCATTTCTGTTCCTAAAAGTGTTAACTGTGCTTTCTTTTCGATGAACACTCTGACTCCTTGGGAAAAAGAAACACATGTCACATAAAGCCTGTGGTGTGCAGAACCTGCAGTGAATTTCTAGTCGGTGCCACCAGCACCCACAGCTTCTGGGCAAGTCTAGGGCTCCTTAGAGGAAGCCCACCACTTCCCACCAGTCCAGCCTGTGCCTAACTCCAACCAATTATAACAAGGAAGACTTTTTACATTTGGAAATTCCACGGCCATTTCTGCAAAACTGGTTTGCCTTTCACTCACCTCCCTACCCCAATCTTTTATGGGAAAACGTGCAATTCTGTGAGCTTTTAATGATGGCATTCACGAGACTCTGGGAACATCTGTCCTGACCCTGTCAGCTATAAACGCCCACAGTACTGTTGTTCCATGGTACATTCTAAACCAGACCATATAAACCAAGACCACACAATGAGACATGGAATTCAGAGAATGCCCACTGGACCCAGAGCGGTAATCTGCTGCTAACCTTATAAATGAATACCATTTCCTAGTCACTGGGAAGGAGAGACTGACCTCTCAAAAGTGCAAAATATGCTTTTCCTCAAAAGACATCACTTAAACATGAACATACTCTATAGGCCTTTCCTCTGTAGGGGGCAACTGCAGCTTATACTTCTGAACTGATGTTATTTTTTTAAGATTTTTCATGTGCATGGTGTTTTGCCTGTAGATATGTGTGCAATGCCTGGGGCAGCCAGAAGATGGTGTTGAAACAAAAGTTACAGATGGCTGTGAGCCACCATGTCGGTGCTGGGAACTGAGCCCAGGTCCTCTGGAAGAGTCAAAAGCACTTAACCTCTAAGCATCTCTCCAGCTCCATTTTTTTATAACTTAAGAAGGCCTTTATCGGTTAATTATTTCAGCTAAATATGATGGAAGTTGGGAATACAATTTCCTGCTTGTCTCACACCAAAATGGCTCCAATATACTAACAACAATATCTAGTGGTGGTTATTACCTTGCATAAGATCTTATTAGCCCAGGCTGGCCTGACCTGATCTTGAACCCAGCACCTAAGATTCCAATCCCAGTATTAAGCCTGAGCCACTGTACCTCAGTCTTTGGTAGGTTTTGCAAGATGACAGGGGCTGGTGTCAAATGCAGGAGCTGATAAAGTGGAGCTGGGTCTGGAGAGCTCATGCTGCTCTTGCAGAAGACCCCGCCTGGTTCCCAGAAGCCATCTTAGGCAGCTTACAACTGCTTGTCCTTCCTGCTACAGAGGACCCAACCCCTCTGTCTCCACAGAACTAGGAATGTGCACTAATATGCCCACATAAAACTGGTTCAGCAGAAATGGCTGGATTGTTCAACTGATGGTCTTAAAATCTGTGTGTGGTGAGTGGATGCCTGACTACCCAGAACCCATGGACCCAGGAGAGAACCAACTCTCAAAAGCTGTACTCTGACTTCACACACTAATACAGCTTTTAAAACCTGCGAGGATGAGCTTGATCCTCAGCCACTGTCTAATTCCAGCACCAGGATGTGTGGGAAGGAAGATCATAGTGAAGCTCTGGTCTCAAAAACAAAAAACAAAAAACAAAAAAAAACAACGAGGAAAAACAAACCTATAAGCCTAAACTGTTCGCTGTGATGACCATTCAGAGCTGAGACAAAACGTAACCCCCCCTTAACCCTTAGAACGGATTGGGTTCAAAGCTTCACTAGGTCCTTTCACTGTGAGCCCCTGGGCTTCCCAGCTACTGAGTCTCTCCTTGCACCAGGTTCTCCAACAGAAGCCAGGAAACTGTCGCCTCTCCCCATTCAGTGGAGCACATGGCAAAAGACTGTCTGCCAGCGCTGGGCACGTAACAAGCACCACTCAGACGATTCCTAACCCAGCAGCCTTACATCAGTTTCTACAAGTTTTCATCAGGAAAAAGAGACCACAAAATGTTAAAGAACAGCAACAAAAACCCGTCCATTACTCACCAGAGCCAAGTGTGGGTGCTTACTCATACCCCACCCCATCACTGGGAGGCAGAGCAGGAATTAATGTCATCCCTACACCCAGCTACATAAGAGTTCAGGGCTAGCCTGGGCTACAAAAGAATCTGTCTCAAAAAGACAAGGGAGCTTACCATCTTGAATAACTTCTTCATCAGAATCTCCTTTTGTCTTTGAATACTCCAGGGTGTAAGAGAGGCCATTACAGCCCCTGGTTCGCACGCCAACTTTCAGACCCACCTGAAAAGAATTGAGAAGATAAACATTGTGTGATGACCTACACCTTGAATCCCAGCACTGACATGAAATTCTCCTCTGTATGCTGTGAATAAGTTTTATTACCATTGGTTAATAAAGAAGCTGCTTTGGGCCTATGGCAGCCCAGAATAGAGCAAGGCGGGAACTCCAAGCAGAGAAAGGAGAAAATAAGGCGGAGTCAGGGAGACACTATGTAGCCAGTGAAGGAGACAGACACTGGATGGAACCTTACTGGTAGGCCACAGCACCATGGCAATACACAGATTAATAGAAATGGGTTAATTTAAGATATAAGTGTTAGCCAGAAATATGTCTAAGTCATTGGCCAAGCACTGTTGTAATTAATATAGTTCTGTGTGATTATTTTGGGTCTGGGCGGCCAGGAAACGAACACACAGCCTCCGCCCACACAGTACCTGCTTGGGAGGTGAGGTACAAGGACTGTGATATAGCAGTATATTATTTGTGTTTTAATAAATAAAGCTTGCCTGAAGATCAGAGAGCAAAGCAGTCATACTAGACAGCCACAAAGGACAGGAATGGTGGCACGCACCTTTAATCCCAGAAGTGGGAGAGGCAGAGAGATCTGTTAGTTCAAGGTCACCCTGGGCTACAAGATTGAATCTAAAAGAGAAACAGCTCACACAAAGGTGATTCCAGCAACACGGAGGTGGAGACACAGAGTGATGTGGCTGGGATGTAGGGGGAACATAAGGGGAAGAGAGGAACTCAGTGGAGAGTGGAGTGTGTGGTGTGGAGTTTTCAGGATTCATGGAGACAGGATCTTGCCCATTTTTGGTCTGAAGTAGAGGTAAGAGCCAGTGGCTGGTTGCTTTGCTTTTCTGATCTTCAGGATGAACCCCAACATCTGTCGCTGGGTTTCTATTATTCATGCTACACTGGCAGGCTGGAGCCAGCCCAGGTAAGGTGCACATGGTCTTGAGGCAGTCAGTGCGGGTTCCACTAGTAAAGGGCACAAGAGCCTGCGGCAGATTCCTAGAGTCCAGATGAAAAGGCCCGGCACAGTGACACGTGTCTGTACCCACTCTGGGGAGGGGCGCAGATGGGCCACTTCTGCACCTTGCTGACCAGTCAGTCTAGTCCACCTCCTCAAGTCCAGACCTGTGAGAAACTGTGTCTCCAGTCAGGATGTGTGACTCCTGAGGTTGACCTTCGGCCTCAGACACATGCACACAAACACGAAGGTACTAATAGAAATGCATGCCTACATACAGGATAGCAAGCAAATTAAAAGACAGAAAGCAACCTTTGATATTACCACTATTCATTTTCTCGTAAACTCAGTGGTAAGCAACAGGTTCCTGGTTATAAGATGCCCCTATAGGAAGAACAAATGTCACGGGAACAAGCACTTAGGACAACACAGGAAAAGTGCACAGGAAGGACTGCACAAGCCTCGCAGTGCAGGAAGGTGGCTTCTCTGTCTCTCCTGTCCTGGCTGTGTCTGCATAGTTTTACTACAGCATAGTAAAAGTTTTACTCTATCTAGGCCTTTACATAGTCACAGTGTTTGCTTTCTTAACTATAGTTTGGAAGTAATGGGAGCACAATGCTCTCCTGTAGCCATTAGCATTCCTTTTTTTGAAGTACAGGAGGGCCACAAACCCACCTGTTTCATCCTTCAAGGTGCTGGGATTGCAAGGGCACTGCCATAACTGGCTTTTCCTTTACTTCTTCAACACAGGGTCCACAAATGGCACCAACTTGCTGTGTAGCCAGCTTCTACCTCCAAAGGCTGAGGCAATGAGCTCAGGCACCACCACATCTGGCTTTGTCTTTACTCCTTTTGGTTTTTTGAGACAGGGTTTCTCTTTGTAGCCCTGGCTGTCCTGGAACTCAATCTGTAGACCAGGCTGGCCTAGAAATCAGAGACTTACATGCCTCTACCTCTAAAATGCTGGGTCACCTCATTTTTTTTAAGGGCATTTGATGGTAGACTGCCTTTAAAACCCGGGGTTCCTTTAAGAGGCTTTGCTCCACTTTGTTCTGTGAGGTATCTGGAGGCTCCCATGGTTAGTGAGCACTGAGGTCCATCTTCTCACCTGGCTCCAGTTCAGGAGCTTCCTTTCTAAGGCAATCTGGTAAAACATCCCAAAAGACCAGGAAGCCAAAGATCATAGAAGTTTAAAATGTGTGTGTAGTGGGGGGAGGGGGTGAGAGGGGCTAGAGGGGCGGCAGGAGCTGATGCAGAGGCTGTAGAGGGTGCTGCTTACTGTCTTGCTTTGGTCCTTACTTTCTTATAGTACTTACAACAACCAGACTGGGGATACAACCACCCAAAATAGGCTACCCTGCCCCTCAACTAATCACCAATGAAGAAAATGCCTCACTGGCCTGCCTATAGCCAGATCTTATGGAGGCATTTTCTCAACTGAGGCTCCCTCCACTTAGATGACTCCAGCTTGAGTCAAGTTGATGTAAAACTAGCCAACACAGCACACGACTGATTTTCTAACAATATCTACCTACACTCGCAATCTTGGTTCCTGCCCTTTAAGTGAACAATCGAGCCCTACTACCCTCAGTCCTGTCCCACCAGGACACTGCAATCCTGAGAAACCCTGTCAGGTGTGCTTGCTTCATGAGCTTGATTGCAAAGCTTAGACTGAGGGCATTCCATTACTCTGAATGCATGAATTTTTGGGGTGCAGGTTTAGTTTGTCTCTGTGATCAGGAAGTCCTTAGGAGAACAGGAGCCCACACATTAGAGTGTGCAGACAGGGCGCGGGGTGCAGCTCCGCATCAGGTTTGCCTAGCATGTCTGAAGTCCTGTGCTCACTCCCAGAAACACAAAAAGCAAAAGCAAACAGAAACCCTCCCCAGTCTCTGAAATCCAGTTTTCAGCAGGCATGGCAGCTCACACCTGCAACCCCCAGCACTCACAAGGAAGAGAGGGTGGATTACCCATGAATTCAAAAGTAGCCTAGTTTCCATAGGGATTGTTAATGCTGTAAATTACACTTATACACCAACGAGAACAAATACCTTACAATCCTACAAGGCTAATTTTAGTTTTTGGTCAAAATTTTTTAAAAATATTTATTTATTTATTATGTATACAATGTTCTGTCTGTGTGCATGTCTGCAGGCCAGAAGAGGGAACCAGACCTCTTTACATATGGTTGTGAGCCACCATGTGGTTGCCGGGAATTGAACTCAGGACCCTTGGAAGAGCAGGCAATGTTCTTAACCACTGAGCCATCTCTCCAGCCCCCGATTTTGGTCAATTTATGTGCTAGAAAGTTCAGAGTCAGAACACTGACACCTGGTGGCATTTAACAGCCTTTAGCATGGAGTGTAAGAAGTCCGGTCATGAAATATAAGAGAATCCGGAAAACAGTACCAGGACCACCATCCACAGGCCACAGCCAGAAGCGACTGCATGCAGGGATGACCCCGTGGGCATGGTAAGCCAGGCTTCCAGGTCTGACACTGGGCGTGACTCACTTCACCTACAGCTGGTAAATTATGTCTGCGGCTGACAGCAAAACCCAGATAGCTTTCACACAGAGGATCAGTTGAACACATCAAACCTGCTCAGGGGAATACATGCAGTCATGAAAGAGGGGACCTTTACCAAATGATCCGGAGACTGAATTACTAGGTAGAACGAAGTGTAACCAAGCATTTACTGCATGTGTCATCTACGGAAGAAGCGAGAGAGATAGACCATGCAGGCCAGTGGTTCCCGAGGAGAACTCCAGAACATCCTCCAGCCACCCTAAGGCATGCAGTAGAGGCAGGGGAATGCCCAGCTAGTAAGCACACAGCCAACCTCAAGGCTGCATCTGGCTTAAGTGTGACAACGTGGAATCTTAGTTGTCTAGAGCTTTGAGCAGTGAGAAGCTGCTTTCTATGGAAAAACTCCCTGTGTGATTCAAGAATTTGGGTGCAGCTCCCTGTACTTGCCTGGCATGAGTGAGGCCAGGAAGTTGACACCTTAGCAATGTAAAAACTAACAAAAAACAATTTAATTAATGAAAATATACTATTTGCAACAAATACATTTGACCCGCGACCACAACTTTTAGCTCTGCTAACCCTTCCGCAAGCTTACATGTTACTTACATGCTCTGGCTTGTCTTTAAGAAGTTGTTTTATCTTGTTCACAGCTGAGGGGGTCTGGAAAAAAGAAACAGCTGTTAGGCTCATCCTCTGACGCACAGATGGGCAGATGCCCCCACCAGAGCCTGATGTAGTGCATGCCTGCAGGTTTTCCCAGAGAACCAGGTGGGTTCCATCCCATAAAGGAGCCACCGCGAAAGCACACTCCTGCCCTGACAGAAGCCCACCTTTTCTTGTGAGACCATATTCTGTGCATCTACTGAATGGCCTGTAACAAGTACAGTGCCAGCACAGATGCTCATGAATAGCCCATCAACGGAAAAGTCAACTTTTGGGTGTTCCCATGTTGGTTCAATCCCCTTCAAACCCATCTGAATGCACGGCTGGAGAGTTGCTCCTGGGCACAGATTTCCACTGTGGGTAACACATACCTGGACATCTAGGTGAGCAGCCATGCTCCTCAGTGACAGAATCAAGTATGTGGCTATGTAGCTAAGAATGCAGTTCAACCTAGCCTAATGGTCTTTAGCAGGAGAAGATGTCCCAATGTAGCGTGTTCAGTATCACCAGTCCCACCTTCCTGTAGAGGGTGCTGGGAACCTATTCTGATCTGCACTGCTCCTGGACTGCTTCCTGGATATGTCCCAATAGACACTTTAAACAGTTTTTTTCTAACGTTTAGGAGGGATAATGTCCTTTCCTAGGATTCTTGTAAAGACTAATACTGAATACAGGGAAGGCGGCCTAGAGAGGATGGCATTCTGAAGTCCAGGAGAGGATGGGGCACAGTGCAAAAGGTGAGAGAAATCACGGTAAGGGAACGATGTCCTCCGTACTTGTGTTTATTGCCGAGGAGACAGATCATAGGCCTGGCCCTAGACCAGATCTGACTTAGAGGCCTGGACAGATGATGAAGTACAAATACAGTGTGGAACCAAATCCAGAGCCACAGAAACAATGCAGAAAGTACAGAACCAACAATGAAGGAAGAAGCTGTGCACTGCAGGCCGTGAAGGCGGCTCAGCTGGTAAAGAGCTTGCTTTGCAGCCACGAGGACGCGAGTTCAATCTCCATAAAACAAAACAACAAATAGAGATAGGGAGGGGAGTAGGTAGGCAGCCATGTCCACTTGGGGGGTTTCCCGTCAGTGGGAGACCCTTTCTCAAGACTAAGAAAGGTGGAAAGCTCCTGAGGAATGGAGAATACTGGAGACACCCTCCAGCCTCCACACATGCGCATACATGAAACATGTACCAGCACCCCACACATACGAAAGAAAAGCAACACGGCATGCTTAAAACAAATAGATGCTGTTTAGGGCACTATTTTAAGTCAGTGTGGGCTGTAAAGTCCTGACTCTCAGTTAAGTGCAGACAGACTGAACTGGCACACAGACACAACGTGAAGGGTAGAAGAGAGGAATGCCAACCTCAGGGAGTTAACAAAAACACTCATTAAAATCAACCACAAGCAGGGAGTGGTGGTCCATCCTTTAATCCCAGCACTTAAGAGGCAGAGACAGGTGGATCCCTAAGTTAAAAGCCAGCCTGACTTACAAAAATGAGTTCCAGGACAGCCAGGACCACACCTGTCTCAAAAGCAGCCAGGCGGTGGTGGTTCACAAGCCTTTAATCCCAGCACTCCGGAGGCAGAAGCTGGCGGATCTCTGAGTTCAAGGCCAGCCTGGTCTACAAGAGCTAGTTCCAGGACAGGCTCCAAAGTTACAGAGAAAACCATCTCAAAAAAACAAAACAAGAAAACGAACACACACTCCTAACTGTGATGCCCAGCAGACTGAGCTATAAGACTTTGAACTTCTGTCTGGTTATTTGGCAGCTTCTAATTATCACAAAGCAAGCTAATTACAGGTGATTTTATTACATCTTGCCATTATCTGTATTTCTCATAAAGTAAGGCTACACAAATAAGACATTTAGAGAGAAAGCCAAATAAAAGCTACTAAAATAATAAGGAGCATAAGGCAACAAGAGAAACTAATAGGCAAGCCCATGCTTCTAAATCCCTGAGATTTGAGTATTGGTGAAACGAAGCTCCATGAACTTCAATGGAGCAAGAGGAAGAAGAGACCTTGCCTTTGCTCCTTAACTGTACCTTAGCTGTCAGGCTGCTTTCCTCAGGAAAAGCCACTGTGCACAAGGGACCAACCCAGGGTACTGCTATCCAGTGACAGCATATGTCAGAATACACCAATATTCGCTGTTTCACATTTAAAGTGGTTGCTCTACAATATGGCCCCAGAAAAGAATTTTTAAATGTGAACTTATTTGGGAATTAAATAGTTATACAGATTTTAAAGATGCTAATACATTTTTAAATTATCTAAACTCAATTTCAGAAAGAAAACCATTTTAGTAAAAGTAAAAGGTTTATCAAAGATAAACAGAACTTTAAAAATGTGCTTATTTATTACACTTCCAGGTAGCTGCCCACAGCCCTTACTTCCCAGTCTTCCAGTCGTACACTTTCACAGACACATTTTCTATGAAAGTGCTGAGGAGACAAACCTAGTGTACAACAGGACTTAGAGCACTCACTAGCTGTCCTTGCAGAGGACCTGACTTTGATTCCCAGCAACTACACGGGGGGCCAGCACCATGTAACTATAGTTTCAGGGAATCCATTGCCCTCTTCTGACCCCTGGGGACACCAGGTACTCATGGCACATATACATACATACACATATACATACAAACACAGACATTAAACAAAAAGCTTAGGAAATGCATGGCCTAGAAAGAAGTGTTTATTGGAGCAAGAACGTGAAGGAGAGCCTGGATTTCAAGCGCACAGGCCAAGGTGACAATAAAGCCTATACTATACTGCGTGATGTGAGCACGCACGCTCTTTTTGATTAACTGGACCTGAGTTTTATTCCCATAAAGATTTCTAAGTTACCTAGATTGGTTTTATAAATCAGTGGGTTTTCCTCTCTTCTCAAGTCTTAGAAAACATTTAAACAGTAGCTGCTTATACTCCTGGCTACTGGGAAGCTGAGGCAGGAGGATCATGAATTTGAGATCAGCTTGATCTACACTGCTATGTTTTTCTCAAAACAAGTTCAATATAGCAAGTAAAAGCAAGGCATGTAAAACCACATGGGCATTGGGCTGCTAACACGCAAGGGGGAAATGACATTAAAAGGACCCAAATGTTTTTGAGCCGCTGTCAAAGGACCAAAACAGATCCTAACTTTGCTGTCCCTCCCTGGGGAGCTGCTACTAAGGAGTTCTCAGCTAAGAGGGACGGACAGCTGAAACTGGCAAGTGACTATCCTGACTTTGCCTTGTTTTGGAGACAGACACTCAACTATGTATTCCAGGCTGGTCTTAACACTCGACCCTCATGCCCTTGCCTGAGTGGGGCGAACAGCTATTGTTCAGCTGAAGGAACTATTCTGGTCAGTTAAAAGAATTGAATGGGGCTGACTGTTGCTGGGGGTGGGGCTGCACCTTTCTGTTCTAGATACAGCACTGTATTTGGCCCTAGAAGAAGGTAAGTGACTCCCTTGACTCACGTCCTGGCAATGATGAGGTCTCTCCTGAAGCCCACTGCAAAACTGGCAGTTCCCTACTGTGTCTGCACCCCTAGACCAGCTCAACCTGACCTCCCCAAGAAATTCCCCAACAAGTAAGGACTCAGAATTCAGATTACTGAAATACCCTAAAATCTAGCAATGTCTTTGGTCAGCTCCCGTGTACACCATAGGAACATGGTTACTTATAGGGACAACATCTTGAAGATGTTTACCAGGTAAAAGAGTGTGCCTCCACATTGAGAACCACACGATGGGAGATGAGAAATGATTCCTGAGCTGTCGTCTGACCACACAATCCCTAAGGCACACGTGCCCACACCTTAAATAAGTCTAACTTTAAGGAAATATTCAAAACCACAAACCAAAAATTGTTTCAAGGCCGCTTTTGCCGTCAGAATGCTGGGAAATGCACTCCAAGTGACCGTCTCAGTTCAGTTCCACAGTAGGGAGCCCAGGCCACCCTGCTCCCAGCCCAGCACTGGGAGTACAAGCATGCACCACCCCCAACCCTAGCTGTTTCTATCCAGGAACTGGAGAGGAAACTCTGGCCCTCATGCTTCAGAGCTGTCTGCCAGCTGACCCACCTCCCCCACCCCGGGGTTTGTTACCCATCATGCATTTAGTCTTACAGTTCTGTAGTTTAGGTATAAATATTTGCAGGGGCTGCTAAATTAATGATGCGAGAGTTAACGACTGAAAATTTTCAAAAAAATCACTTTGCATGGTGTATATAATCCTTTGGTAAAAGGCTCTCTTCCTTCTCTGACCCTAGCAGCTGCTCTGCCGCTGGACGCTGTAGTTCTCCTGGTAAGCTTCTGACTGCATGCACGCGCCAGCTGCTGTCCCAGAGGTCTCTGGGTCCTACTCCAGAGAAGTAACAGGTCCATACATGTGTCCCTCAGGCCCTCAGTCAGGCGGCACCTGGAAGCTAACGGTGAATGAGCTTCTCTGCACACACTGATCCGGCCCCATCATATACTCGCAAGTTGAGCTTTGGGCGGCACGAGGCTCTGGTCATAAGAGAGCTGCAACTAGCTCTGTCTTGCGCACCAACGGAGATCGGGCTGCCTGTCAGCCAGCACGTGTTTAAGTCACAACTCACTCTGGTCCCTACTTAGTAAAGTAGACTCAAGTCTACTTAGTAACTCCTGGAAATACGGGGTGGAAGGAGCCCATGCTCCCTGGATGTCCTCTGCAAGCATCCAAGGGTCCTTGCACTAACGTCACCGGTGAGCTGGAGCCATTCCTCGTTTGTAGACAGTAGCCGTCAACAGTCTCACCCCCCCCCCCATGCCAGCCCATCAATTCCCTCCGTGGTTAACTGGAAGAGCTAAGTGGCGCCCACATTTCCATGTTACACCTGCCCTCGCCGAGGCGAGCCTCGAGTGGGCTCTGGAGCACTCCTCCCCTGTCAGAGGACGCGGCCAGCAGAACCTAAAGCTATTCTATCAGTTTACTTTGGTTTGCTAGTGTCGCCCTCCCGAGCTTTCCGCCTGTGATCATCACGCGGCTTTTGCATGTTACATGTTAGGGTTCAAATGTTTACCAAACACACGAAACACAGGCGCAGCCTGCACACCAGCCAACAGGCGGTGGGGCTGCTCCTCAGCCACTCCGCCGAGGAAGGACGGGATGACTGCCTACAACTGAGACAGGGAATGCGGAGAGGCTGTCAACTGCGATCTGCTGTGACCAATCATAGGGAGTGGTCAACAAACGGACTGAGCCAGGGTCTGTGCAAAGGAGGCGACATTTCGGGTAAGACTGGGTTACGGAGGGCGGGACCCAGGCAGCTCACTTATTTCTTTGTCACAAAACAGCAGGGCTTGATAATGTGTGCTGAAAAGGTAGGCATGGGGAAGAAAGAGGGCACCTCGAAAATTCCCAGGTAACAGGTAACATTGCCAAGGGAAAAGCCTGCCTGGACACTGACTTTTCGGAGGATTCTGCTCTGAGTGAGAGGAGACACAGCAGGATTCCATGATGTAACCTTGCGGAAATAGAAAGGAGCCGACTCTAGGAAAAGCAACAGAGCGCAGTGTAACTGAGACTAACTGGGGGGCCGACACTGACCGAGCACAGAAAGGCTCCCCGCTTGGTCCCGGCTCCCTTCTATTTTACTTCACTTATTTGTTAGGACCCTAAACTGAGCAGATCCCCCGCCTCACGCGGGGAGGATTCGAAGCCTGCCTCCCGGCTGCCTCTGCCGACCCGCCTTCCTCCGCGGCGCCTTCCCCGCACGACCTTCCTCCTGGACGCCGTGACCTCGGCGGTTGCCGCCCGGGTCAGCGCGCCGCCCGCCGGGCTGGAGCGAGCACTGCTGGTCTGCGGGCCAGGCCCGCCCGGCGCCCCGGGCCGCCGCCGCCTCCCGCCGCCGCGACTCACCAGCGTGAGCGCCGCTCGCGTGGGCTGCAGCTTCCTCTTGCTCACGGCCCGCACGGTGGCGCGGACCAACGACGCCGACATGGTCACGGCGCGGCGCCCGCAGCCTCCGGCCGGAGCGTGACCCCTCAGCCTCGCTCCATGGACACGGCTGGCTCTTTGACGCCACAAGCTTCTGCGCAGGCGCCGCAGGCCCCGCCCCGCGCCGCCATTGGACAGCCGGGTGAGTGACGGGCTGGGCCGCACGCCGTCAGCGCTGACGCGGCGCGGGCGGTGACCCCTGACCTTGCGGGCTTCGCGGTTGCCCTGCAGCCGAAAGTGGAACGGCTTCTTCTTCGGGGCCCCCGCTGACGGGAAGCGGCAGAACCCAAGACGGAAGCCGCTCCGACAGCAGAACGAGCCGGTCGAGACGCCGTGCGACAGTTTCCGTTATTGAAAACCCGAGCACGTGACCTAGCAGCCTCGCGACCGACGGGGACGGAAACCCTGGCAGGACAGTAACGGTCAGCTAGCCTGCTTTCCTGCAGGCGGTTTCCATCTGACCAGCCGCACGCACGTAAACACAGCTTCCCTCTGGGCCTGTAAGATGAGCTCTAATCTTTTATCTTGGGGCAGCAGCTGCCCTGGGGCTGGCACTGGGAGGGCGTGGGCTCGAACCACCCTCCGGGTTCCTGGAAGGCTGAGTGCGGGGAGCAGGGCTAGGATCTTCTGGGGGTAGTCCCGCTGATAGAACAGGAGTCAGCTGCTGTGTTAGCATCAACTGGTTAGGTTGGCAGGGCAAGACAACGTGAATGAGGGTAATTCTAGGCTGACAGACCAGGCAGACATAGTTACCAGGGTTGGTTAGAAGCCTGGAAGAATGTTGTGGAGATGTGCTGACTGATTTTTGTCAGCCTGACACAGACTCAAGTCATCTGAGAGAGGGAACCTCAACTAAGAAAATGCTTCCTCCATAAGATGGGTCTGTAGGCAGGCCTGTAGGCGTTTTCTGATTTCATGACTGATGGGGAAGACCACACATTGCGGATGGGGATAGTCCTGGGCTGGTGGGCTGGGTTCTATAAGAAAGCAGGCTGAGCAAGCCATGAGGAGCGAGCCAGGAAACAGCACCCCTCCATGGCCTCATGCTCTTGCCTCTAGATTCCCACTCGGTTTAAGTTCCTGCTTTGACTTGTAACTTGGAGTGGTAAGTCAGATAAACCCTCTCCTCTCCAGGTTGGCTTTGGTCATGTTTCATCCCACCAAGAGGAACCAGAACCATGGTTAGTTGGGGAAATGGGCATGCGGCAGGTCAGGTGCAGCCCCGATGCCATGCAGCACTAGGTGGCATCACCATGTGTACTTCATAGCCCATGGAGGAAGGCATGTCATGTCAGACGATGGCCCGCACTGGTAGGACAGCCATATGTAAATTCTGACCCTGGCAGTAATGAGCTACACAACACCAAAATCAGCCCCTCAAGATACTGCTAGGGTGGCAGTGGGCAGGAAGGTATGGACGTCTGGGGACGCAGGGGTCAATAGGCGTCATCCCTTTGAACAGTAATATCCTTCCTCTCTCTGTCACGCGTTCTTACTCAAATACGCATACATCTCTCTTACTCTTGGTTCTGAGAGGAAGGTGACCACTCAGGAAATGTTTAGCTGACAGCAGGGTGACGATTTTCTCGGGGAGTATCGTCAGTCTACAGTGTAAAGACGGAGCAGAACAGTTTTCCTGGGTGGTTTTCTAGTGGACACATCTCAGTGGCAAAGATGGAAGGGCATGATTTCCCAGGGCCGTCGAGCAGCACCCGCCAGCCTGTGTGAGCAGCATCTACTGTGGTGGATCCTTCCCAACCAGTCGTCTGGAGCAAAGGCCCCAAATGTGCTGTTTCCTGAAAGCCAACAAAGGAGACCTCTGCTCTCAAGGATAGGAAAGCTGGGGGGGGGGGGAGCGGGCTCTGCCACCCACTGGCAATAAGGATCAGCTGAGAGTTAATCGCACCTAAGGCACCTGACATCCATTCTTAACAAGAGCCCCAGGAGCCTGGCAGTGGTGGTGCACACCTTTGATCCCAGCTAAGGTAGGCTAATCTTTGAGTTCAAGGCCAGCCTGGCCAACAGAGGGAGTTCAGGACAGCCAAGTCTGCCTGCCCTATCTAAAAAAAAAAAGAAAGAAAGAAAAAAGAGAACAAAAACAGCAAAAAACTAAGAGTCCAGGGAACCAGGCCACCTCTCAGAGGAACATGGGAGCGGGGAGCCGGGGTGGGCACTGGTGTATGGTGAACGTTGAATTAACCCAGGCTTTCTCGGAACACAAGTCCCGTGTCACCTGTAGTCTACAGCATCCACAGCACACACACTGTGCCGTAGTTCCGCAAAGGAACAACATTTCACCCTTTTGGTTTGATTAAAAAAAAATTGGGGGACCTTAAAGGGTAGAGAATGGGGGCGTAGCCCGGTTTCTCATGACTGTTTCCTGCTGGCTTTGGGCGTCGAGGGATCCAGGGAGTGTCCGATTATTCTAGCCATGTCCCGCTGGCGTTTGAGGTCGTGGTGTCCTGGTCGTGGTGTCCTGTCCACTGGCGTCTGGGGTGGCCAATGTCCGCTGGCGTTTGAAGTCTTGGGGTGGCCAATGTCCGCTGGCATTTGAAGTATTGGGGTGGCCGATGTCCGCTGGTATTTGAAGTCTTGGGGTGGCGTCTGAGGTGGCTGATTGAAGAAATCACATCTGTCTGGCTTTTCTGAGTAACTGGGTCATCGTTAAGATGCTGGAAGACAAAAGTCGCATTAGTAGAGGAAAAAAAATTAAAGGGGAGAGGAGATCTGGGGTGAAGGATTCTTAGGAGGTCTGGGGTTAAGAATGATAAAAAATTAAATGATACTTATTCCGTTAATGATCCGCTTGTGTTTGATTTGTTTAGATGGGTCGGGCTGGCATCCTGGAGCTTAAAGAAAGTGTCTTAAAAGAAATAGTAACCGTATATTCCTTAACATTTCAGGGGCCACTGCTGCAGTCAGTGGCTGACCTGTTATGTCAAGGAGCTTTGTTGGGAATCTGCTTACCCCCTGAGCCCTTGACTCCGTATTTGATGATGGTATCTGTAACGACAGCTGGATGGTTATTTATGAATTTAAAGAAGGGAGGGTGTGTTAACACAGCGACGGATGGGACCACTGTTTTCCTTAGACTGGAGTAGAGGGGGTTGAACCTGGTATCCTTGAGCTTGGCAGCTTATCTCCTCTGCTGGCCTGGCGGGTGCAGTGATCACGTGGCAGTGGTTTTGGTTCTTGTCGTTTCTCGCGTGGTACACCTTGAAAGCCACCTCCAGGATCTGTGCCTGTGGGGTTAGGGGACCCTTCTCCAAATGTCTGAGCTTTGCCTTGATGTCTGAGTAGCATTGGTAGCAAATGGGTCATCAGGAGCTGTCTGCCCTCCGTGGATTCTGGATCAATGTTTGTGAACTGTAACATAGCTTTAGTAAGATGGTCAAGAAATGCAGAGGGATTTTCCTTAGTGTCTTGGAAAATTTCTGCGAGTTTAGAATAGTTTACTGGTTTGAAAGCAGCCTTCCGAAGCCCCACCATGAGACAAGTTTGGAACCGGTCCCTGGCCAGAATGCCCCCGGGAGAGTTATAATCCCAGTGGGGTTCCTGGTCTGGCACCGCCTCTGCCCCCGGAGGGTGGGAGGCCAGGGTTTGGTGGACTTCATCAGCGTGCAGCCTCGTCTGTTCCCAGACCCGCCTGCGCTCGGGAAGCAAGTTATTACAGAGAATCATATAAATATCATGGTAAGTTATGGTAGGTTGTAAGATTGGGTTGTAAGATCAGGAATAAGCCCAGCTGATGACTAGTTGGGCCGTGTAATCCTGCCCACCTCCGCTCACAATTAGCTCTCCCTGCTACATCAGGTAGAGACTGGGGTCGGAACATCCACGAGAAGGGAATGCTTGCCCCCCTGAAATCCCTGTGCTTAGAGTGACGTCCTCCCTTGCTGACCTGAAGTCCACCAGCACTGCACGGGAAGACTAGGGGAGGAGGGCTGCCTTAGACAGTCCAGGGTGTTCCCTCCCCCTACAGCCAATGCAAAGGTCTTCCCAGCTGCTACTGGCAGTGTGAGGGCTAAAGAGGAGCCTCTGTGGTGACCTATGTGGCATCCCAGAGGAACTGAGTTGAGGCTTCCAGATGGCAGACCAAACCTGACCTGACCAGTTCCCTGGAGGGAACGCCTCCTGGGGCCTCTGGAATCCCATTCAGAGAAAAGCTGCTAGATTGCTGTGAGTACTGAGGTGTGGATGGGGGAAGCTTGTGCTATACAGCTAGGAGCTCACTGTGGATGGAGCTGAGGCTGAAGCCAGGTCCTGGAAGGATCCCCAGTGGGGTTCCCTGTGGGGTCTTCTTTCCAAACAGAAGGCTTGTTTTCCTTGGAAAATAAGGTGCTAGGGACTGAATGGCAGCCTCCCCTCTACAAATGCTATGTAAAGCCTTATGCCAAAGATCTGTGGCCCTTGCCCAGGGGAAGTAGCTGGTGCTAGCGCCAGGGTCACGGAACTAAGGCCTCCTGGACCTTTTCGTTTTGGCAGTAGGGCAAGAGATTGTAAATATCCCTGTGGCTGTTGGTAAATGGCGAAAGTGGATTCAGAAATGGCAGGTAGTGGAGTAAGCTGACATTGGAAGGGCCTACCAGCCCTGATAGCATCTCTCTTCTGGGGATGCTCTGTTCCAGTCATCATGTGCTGCATCCAGGGTAAAAGCCTCTGGTTTAAAAATTGGAAAAATTAAATTGAGTCACTTTAAAATAATGTGCTTATAAAAAAACTACAGATTGTTGGTTTCTATATTTCTTACTATGCAGTGTGTCCAGAGGAAAGTAAATTCCCAGCTCTGTTTAGATGGGTGCAGGACTACACTGTCCTCAAGAACTATTGCTGTAAAAGCTCTGGCCCAGGGCCGGGGCCATATGAACAGCCCAGCTGAGCTTCTAAGCCAGCCCATGTTTAGATCTGAATTTAACACTTGTCTGCTCACAATGCTTGTGATAAGGTGGGTGCCCCGAGTTGCCCCACATGGCAAAGATCTGCTAAAGCCTCTCACCCCACCACAATGGCAAAAGGGGTGTTACTGAATGATAAGGTTGAGTTAAAATGGCCCTTTTGACTCTTTATAATGTTTATGGCTATTAAAAAAAACATGGCGAA